TCTTCTTGCAGGTGCGCGGCGGCTTCCTCAACCTCAGGTCCGCTATGGCGGACTCTCACCTTCGGCGGCCACCTCGGCTATGGCGCATCGGTCCTACATACGACGACGCGCATGGAATAGCGGGTACCAGCTCCGATACCAATGCAATTAGACTCGTCTTATTCACACTTTTCATGTGTGCAAACAGCAACACAGTACACTGGCGACATGCGCCCACACGGAACTCAGAGATATGGCTTCCAGATACGAGTTTACTTTCAACTGGCTATGGCGACTTAGCGCGCAAACAACTCACTGTTCACACACTGGATCACCCTGGATATCCCACACACGTCGCTCTGAACACTTACACGTGCACACACACTCTTCCCACTAACTACCGCTATGGCAGCTATGGCTGCCTCTACCCTATCGCTATGCTTACTCCTCCTCTCTCGCCCACTGCGTCCTCCGAGCTCACTGCAGACCTCCTTGCACAAGTCGCTGTGGCATCGCTTCCGCATGGCTCACGCAGGAATGAATGAAAGGCTGGGCGCTGCCTCTTGATTTATACTTCAGAAACTTGTTGGTCTGCCCTTTGCCATCGGCCCATGGTGCTAACAGTCCCCCCCGTGGTACTTGCTGGACCGGACTGGGACTAACTGGACCTTCCGCTGACTGACTGTAGACTCACCGCTATCCTACCGACGTTGTACTGCTATTGCAGTGCAGTTTAGTCCACCACTTGCCTGGCCACTTGACCACTTGCCCACTTGCCTACCTTCTAGAAGGTCTACAGCTAAGCTTCCGGAACTCACTAAGACTTCTACGCTATAGACCTACAAATCGAACCCCTGCTGCCTATGGACCTACGACAGACCTACCAACTGTCTACGAATACACAGGTCACAGGTTCAATTCTCGGGATCTATATAGATACTTTACATAGGTAGGGTGAGGTCTAGGGATCGAACCCTGGGTACTGCATCCGCTACTGCTAAAAGGTGAAAACCGTTTCACTCCCGCCGTCCTAAATTCGAGGTCCTCCGAGAACATTTCAGTCCAAGGCGGGACCTTTACCTTTCTTGTCATGTTCATAGGCTCTGACTATGTCGGGAGCGGTCTCTAGAAGTTCTGTTTTCGTGAACCAGCGGTCGTCTTCCGATTCCTGATAGGCGAGACAGACCTTATATTGTTTCTGTGGACAACCTCTACCTCCTGTTTTAAACACATCCTCATCTACAATGCCTTCTATATCATAGCTCCCATCCATATCCGGAGGGATCATGGATCTTCTAGAAGGGAGCTGTTGGCTTGTAACACACGGCAACAACTTTGAAGCATGGAACACAGGATATGTGTGGAGGTGTGTTGGAATCTCAATGCTATAGGACGGTCCATCCTCTCCGCCCTTGACTTCTAGAACCGGCCACGGCCCTCTATATGCAGGCAGTAACTTCTGCGAGATGTTTTCTTCCGGTGCAAACTCTTTTGCCTTGACCCAGACTAAGTCGCCTACCTGAAACTGTGATGGGCGACGGTGCTTATTAGCCTGCTCTATCATCTTATGCTGGGCCTTTCTGAGGTTCTCAACAACAGTTGCTAATTCTCTCTCGTGTTGTACCGCAAATTCCCTGGTACCGGGGGGTAATCTGTGAATCTGATCCTGGTTCACTCCTTCGAACGGTCTGCGTGGTCTAAAGGACTTGTGCAACTCATTGGGAGTGCGGCAGGTGGATAGACCCCCGCTGTTGTTGTATGCACTATCTACCTTAGGCAACATCTCATCCCAGTTAATCTGATCTGGTCTAATGTACATGCGCAGAACTTGTTGTAGGATCTTGTTCATCTGTTTTGTCTAACCGTTAGTCTCTGGGTGATGGCCAGATGACATTAACAACTTAGATCCGTAAACTCTCATGAGTTCTTGCCAGTTTTGGCTGGTGAAACGACTATCTCTATCACTAACAATTGACAATGGGATTCCATTCTCACTAGCCCGAAAGTCAAAAAACTTTTGTATAACTAAGTCTGTACGTGCCTTTGCAGGCAAAGGAACAAAAACTGCATATTTGCTAAAGCGGTCAACTATGACCATGACTCGGCTCTTACCATGTCTACTCTTGACTTGGGTGTCCATGAAGTCTATGGACACGGAGTCTCCCGGCTGATCCGGAATAGGCAAGGGTCTGAGAAGACCTAGGGGCGCGCGTGTAGTAGACTTATTCCTCTGGCACACTTTACAACTGCGGACATACTCTATGCAGTCATTCTTCATCCCTGGCCAGGTATACGCACGCATCAGGTTTGCCTAATGTCTTTTGCCAACCGAAATGCCCTTCAGTATCGTGGCATTCCCCTAAAATCAAACTGCGGATCTCTTCGCTGTTGGGAACGCACAGGCGGTCAAACACATTAGTCTTCTCAAACGGCAACCCGTCTGTAGTGCGGTAATCTGGTTCAGTCTCTGGGGCCTCTCTAACTCTGTTTAGGAGGTCGCTATAGATAGGGTCCTGCGCATATGCTTACCTCACTTTCTTCTGCAGGTCTCTCCCTATATCTAGATATTGTATTACGGCTCCAAAGTAGTCTGATCTCCTACTTAGAGCATCCGCAACTAAGTTGTATTTGCCCTTCATTGGTTTGAGCTCAAAGTCGAATTGGTTTATCTCTGCCTGTCTTTAACCAACGAAGTGTCTCGTGGTCAGAATACACTTTGAAGTGCCTCCCAAGCAGATAGTGCTTCCAATGGTCTAAAGCCTGTCTGAGAGCGTCGAGTTCTCTCTCGTACGTGGAGGTAGCAACCTTCTCACAGGGCATCCTCGCTGACATGAACTCTACGGGTCTATAGCCATTGCCGTCGTCTTGCTGCAACACGACGCCTATCCCATACTGACTTGCGTCCATGGTGACGACAAATGGCAAAGACGGATCTGCAACTTTGAGGACAGGATACTCTATTAACGCGCGCTTTAACTTCTTGAGCGCAGATGTACAGTCTTTGTCCCATTGCCAGATTGCCTCTTTCTTCAGCAACCTGTATAAGGGAACGGCGATAGTGGAGAAGTTCCTTACGAACTTCTTGTAGTAGTTAGCTAGACCTTAGAACGACCGCAACTCTGTCAATGTGCGGAGCGTCGGCCAATCTCTAATCGCCGCTATCTTACTGTCCTCTTGCTTAATGCCATCTTCGTCTAATACGTGGCCCAAGTACAAGACTTGTGTCTTGGCCCACGCGCACTTCTTCGCGTTGATCTTGAAGTTAGCTTCTCATAGCTTCTCCAAGACCTATCTCAGATGACCCTGATGCTCGTGGAGGGTCCTACTAAAAATTAGGATGTCATCTAAGTAGACTACGACAAACCTATCCAACCAGGGTCTAAACAAATCATTCATGCAACGCTGAAATGGAGCTGGCGCGTTGGTCAGTCCAAAGGGCATCACTATGAACTAATAATGCCCGTACCTAGTCCGGAACGCAGTCTTATACTGATCATCAGGATGGACCTCTATCTGATGATAATCGGACTTCAAGTCTATCTTTGTGAAATACTTACAACCCCGCACCCGATCTAAAAGATCGTCTATCCTGGGCAGCGGCTCAGCATTTTTCACAGTAATCGCATTCAAACCCCTATAGTTTATACACATTCTCAACTCTCCTTCCTTCTTCGAGACAAACAAAACGGGTGCTCCAAAAGGAGACGAACTGGGTTTGATCCAACCTTTCTCAAGGAGCTCGTCTAATTGCATGTGAAGCTCCTCTAACTCTCTAGGAGACATCCTGTACACTGCACCCTTAGGAGTTGTACTGCCAAGCTCTATCTCTATCCTGTGCTGGATGGGTCGCGACACTACCCCTGTTGGCAACTCAGTCAAGTCTTTGATCTCTTCTAGCAACTTGGCTATGGTTGGATCCGTGGAAGTTACCTCTTCCTTGCCCTCGGTGACAGGTCTAACATACACTACAAAGACCTGCTCCTCTAATTGCTTATTTTTCACTAACAGCGCGAACGTGGGAGCACTGAGACAGCAATGCGCCAAGGCGTTATCTACACCTGACACATGAAACAGGCGGGTAGTCTTAACCTCGCCTGACGGACTAGGGAGCCTACACTCATGCTCTCTCAAATGGAGTGTGGCCCCGACTGCCTCCCCCCTATCCATTCCTAACACTACATCGAAAGGAAGGTCATCCTGTACGAGGAGAGTCAGGGAATGGAGAACTTTCTCCACCTTCCCATCCTTCTCTAGGCCAAAGTATGCCTGGACTCCCTCTACATAGTCCTCAACTCGCATCGTGCGGTTGTCTGCGAGGACACTGACTATGGGGTCTGCCAACTTTTGGACTTTCAATCCTAACCTCAACTTCTTCAACGCCCTGCGGCTAATATAACTATGGGTGACCCCTGAGTCTATAAGGGCACCTACTCTACTTCTAAAAACCTCTACGTCTATCAAGATTAGTTGTCCTTTGCTCTCTTTCTTCATCTTGGCCCAGGCTGGCATTCTCTCCTTCAACTCTTCTGCCACACCTGTGAGGGACGTGCCTAAAGAGACGCTAACATAGGCGGCCTCTAGACAGCTAGCTAGGCACGGGCCTGCAACCTCTGCCATAGGTTCATGTGGGTTGGGAGTGTCCTATTCGCGCGCGCTCACTTCTCCACATGGCCTTGAAGTAGGGGCAGTTGCAACCCCCACTGGCGGCTGCCTTTTGACTGTTGGGCAGCCCAACGGGCCTATCTATACTAAGGACAATATTTAATAACGTGGGTCGGGTCACCACAGAATACGCACTGACCCATGTTCACGCGTTCTTGCCATAATCGTTGGTCCAAGCCCAGATCTTCCCAAGGCCTGCCCTGTGGCAAGCCTGGGTGCCATCCTCCTTGAGGTGCCCTTCCACCTCTACGCTGTGGGGACCGATTACCCTGGCGATTTGGCGGGGGACCTTGACCCCTACCTCCCACTTGGCGGTTTCCTTGGCCGCCAACCCCCTGTGCGCTCGGTCCTCGGCCTCCCATGGCCTAGCCCCTTTGGCCCTGGCCTCCTCCTCTACCTTGCGGCCTCCCTCCAGCCGCGACAACAGCGTAAGACCTCCCCTGCCCTACACTACTGTCCTCCTCCCCTAGGCCCCACTCAATCTGATCATATGGGTCCTCGTCTGTACCACCCTCCTCTAATGTCAGGATCAAGTGATCCTTGGCCTTGACTTGGCCTGAGATGGTACGATCCTTCCACTTCTTCCCCTTCTCYAGGTCCTTATGCCAGAAAGTGGTAACTRGCATAGACTTYGACTCATACARGACGACTTCTCTACTYAATGCATCATARGTGATGCYGGCCTGYTGAGAYTTGTCAAAGAAATGCCCGCGTAGGGCCTCTGGCATGGCACGATAAAACAACTGGACCAGCTGGGGCTCAGTGACCCCATGGTCCGGGACGGCTACTAAGTCGTCCATGGTACCCTTGAGTGCCGTGGCACTCCTCCACTGCTGTGAGTGGATTGTCTGCAACTTATCTGAGGCTCTGACGCCTCGCGTTGGGTCAGCAAATCGCTCCTTAAGGAGCTTGAGGAACTGAGAGAGGGGGGTGACTTTGGAATATGCAACCAGGTTGTTTTCACAACCGGCTGCGCGCGCAAGGGACYTGGCGAAGCTAGCCGCTTCGTCCTTCAGGGCCTGGAAGGCCACGAGGACTTGCTCCTCTATCAGGATATGCTGTAAATAAATGTAACTGTTGACACTGGCCTCCCAGTTGTCAAAGTTCTCCTCCTTCTTTCCCCCGTACACGTCTGGGAACTTGAGCTTGACAGGCTCCTTACGGGGTCTGGCCTCGCCATCTACAACGGCTATGGCTTTTGCACCTTCAATGGCGCCTTCACAAAACTTTCCTACATTGTCCCTCAACTGTTTGACTTCGCCCCCAATGTGGGAGACGATTTCGTGCGCAAAATCCCTGAAACCAGACTGCATGGCACTCAACGCTACATCCTGGCTCCAACTTGCCTGGCGCTCCTCCATCCAGGCCTTGCTCAACACCTCTAGGTAGCCCAGTACCTTGTCCCACTTGGCCTTATCATCTGGCTGGGCCAGCACCTCCGCTCTACACTCCTGCACCTTTGCCACTGCTGCGGTCATCTTATTCACTTCTTCTCTCCTCCTCCTCTTCTCCCTCTTCATTCTCAACTTCCATTGCAACTTCTGCTCGTCTTCCCTCTCTCTTCGTTCCATAGGATCCGTCATGGCTGCTAGCTCAGCGGCCAGTGCGGCCTTCTCATCTTCAGTCACATATGACTCCACCTCTTCATCTTCTCCCAACGATAAGTTAGCAACCCACTTGGTGATCTTTTTCTCAATCTCAGCGTCTGTGTCCTTCTTCATGCCACTACTCCCTTCTCTACTCTCGATTCTCATCCTCTCTTTCTCTTCTTCTGCTGCCGCTTCTTCTTCAGCAGCCTTCTCCTTTTTCTTCGTCTCCTTGTCCACTTCCTTCATCTTCGCCGCCCGCTCATCTGCGATAGCCTTTAGCTTCGCCTACTTCTCACGCTCTTTCCTCTCCCTATTCTCTTTGACTAAGGCGGCCATCTTCTCTTGCTGCTCCTTGCTATAGGGGCTAGTCTCTAACCCAGTACGGGTCTCAACCATGGTGATAAGCGTACAACCGGGTTAGTGGTTCCAAACCTCACCACGTAGACTCTAACCCTTGACTGACAACCTACTGATTCAATCTAAGACTCACAGAATCCTGACAGGGATCCTACCAACTATGGTCTCTAGCCTAGACCTATGCTATGGCTGTCACTACTGAACCAGTGGCTGATCTGGAGGCATTTAAGGAGATCCCCCGTAACTCCGCAAGAATTCTTTAACGTCGCAGACAGGACGACGTGATCAGCTTGGCTCTGCCTGTGCTTTCAGCCCACAACTCAGCCTTTCCGGCCTACTGTGCCACACCGAGCAGCCTGCCGGTCTGTACCGGTCCTTGGGAGGGTTCGTATCCCCCGGGACAGTCGAGTCGTCAGACACAGATCCTCAACCTTACTTGGTCCGGTAGGGGAGTGGTTCAAACAGGCCCTCAACACTTAAAGACTGCCTGGTGTGTCAGCCCTAACTGCCGTTCAGGCCCACTGAGTCCTACCAACCGTTTCCAGCCGGTCAGTACCGGTCCTTGGGAGGGTTATGCCCCCTTGGAAAGTTGGATCAGCCACAGTCTTAGCCCTATAAGGTCAGACTAGGGTTTCGTCATCCAAGCCCTATCCTTCATCCACAGAGTGCTATCACCTAGGACAGAAGAGACTCAATGCAGAAAGAATAGACAGACTGACTTGACTCAGCAAGTACCGGGGGGTGTGTGCACATCCATAGGGCGAGGGGTAGGCTGAAGGCTTGGCGAGATATTACCCACTCCAGCTTGGTCAAAGTCTTGGTCAACGCCGGTCAACGCTGCGGCCAACCCTTGGTCAACCACCAATCAACTCCGGTCAACGCCTCTGGTCAACCCTCCGGTCAGCTATGGTTGTCGGATGTCTTCCTCGCCAACCCCCTTCTTCTTCTTCACCTTCCTCGCCTCCTTGCACCTCGCTGGCCTCTTCTTCCCTTTCTCTTTTTTTTATTTTTTGATCGGCCTCCTCTTCACTTCTTGGCTACGGCCGCTTCTCTCCCTTCTCGGTCTCTCCCCCTCTGTCCTTCTCTCCCGCCACTCATCACTCCGTGGTGCAAGCTTCGCGGCTATGGCCGTTGTCTTCTCCTTTGTGGACTGCGCAACTCGCTTCACGGGTAAGTGACAACCAAACTTGTATCGCTCATCTCTCTCTCTCTCTCTCTCTCTCTCTCTCTCTCTCTCTCTCTCTCTCTCTCTCTTGCCGTAGCGGTATCTTCAACGCAGCAGGTACGTAGTAACCCAATCTTGTATCACTCAACCTCTCCTCTCTCTCTCTCTCTCTCTCTCTTCTTCTTCGTCGTGGTCTTCTTGCAGGTGCGCGGCGGCTTC